TTTGTTAATTAGCACATCTGTTCATGTATAAAAAAAAATTCTTTTACGAAAATTTATTTATATATGGAAAGTTATTCTTGAGGTTAGTTTAATATGTATAATATTTTTATTAGCTTAAATAAAGTGATCGATATAATGAAACGTTATTTTAAAAATTGGATAATAATGAAGATGTTGGGAAATTATTTAATTTCATTCATAAATTCACAATATTATTATTCTTACAATTTTTCAAAAACTTTCGATTAGTAACACTGAATGTTTTTTTGTTTACCCAAAAAGTTTAAAGAATTCTGGAATACGCCAACGGTACGATTTTTATCTTATAGTCTAGTAAGCTTGCCATGAAAAGGGAGGACCTAAGTTGCATCAAATGGAGTTGAATGTTTCTTTTTTTCTGTATGGGATGCATGGGATGTATGAGATGCAAAATCCAACTTTTCGAACTCGCCCCCCCCCCCTCTCTCGGATCACCTTTTAAAACCCAAAAAACTGCTATATTTTCCAACTTTTTTCCATTTTGACTATGAAGGAGCACATTTTCGACAAGAACATCACATACAGTTTTAAACTAGATTAAATATTCCATAATTAAACACCAGAACAGGCTTAGTAAATCAAATAGTTTACGACATACAGATTTTCAAATATTAGAAAATTTTCGAACTTGAAAATTTTAAGCTATTTTTCCTGTATGTTCGTACGCACTTGTCTTTATATCTTCAATAACCTGTCTTATATGATTCAGTGAAGTAAATATTTATTCATTTTAACATTATGAAGAAGGGATGAGGGAGGGTGATGTTTGGTGGGAGAGGGAGAAATCACTTTTCACAACCAGAAGACTAAAATTGAAATATATAAATTATTTAACCAACATTTACATCAAGTAAATATCAAAATAGTAAATGAATTGAATACAATTTTCTAAACTTGAAAATGTTAAGCTGATTTCATGTTTATCTCTTCCTTATAACAGTTAGTAAAATAAACTTTTATTTAAGTTATTATTTTGAAGGAGTAGGATACATGGATATAGGAATGGCTATACATAATTGATAAAGTAGGTGAGCTAGAATGACCTAAGTCATTTATTGCGTTCGATCTTTTTCGTAGGCTCCAACGCCAGTGCCGCTTTTCCGCCGATTAAGTGCATTTTCTAAAGAACTGTTCCAAATATATTAAAAATTACTCAGTGATTTAGATAGATAAATGTATTCTGTATTTTATGTTTTACTTTAGGGTGTTTTTCATTATTGTTGGCCGTTTAATTACAAATGACGCTTGATTTTCAACTTTAATTTCAACGACTTGAAATGACTTTTATAAAAATGACTACTGGTATTTTTTATCGCCAAGGTCAATTTTTTTTGGATAATTTAGTATACTCTGACTATACAGCTTTAATAAATGATCAAAAGGCAACCTCTGAATCTCAGTGACTGAAAACAAATTCAAGTCAAAGTCGTCCCTCAACCATGTTTGGACGCCATTTTAGGACTGTGCGGCCACTTTTTTAAATATATAGTTACAAGGAACACAACGATATGCAATTTATAGTGATGTGGAGGGAGGGTGCACGGAAGGAGGGTCTGGCCCACAAAACTACCATCTTCCTCCAAATGTTCCTTCCCTCCTCCATCACTCCTCATTTAAAATATTTTTTTTATTTATTATTTTAATGGAATTTACAACTGTATTACATAGAAAATACAATAAGTAAATGTGAAATTGGTAACATGACATGTACAACATGAAGAGAAACTACCCATTGGTAGAACTCAAATTACTTTAAAATATTAAAATGAATAAATGCTTACTTCTTTGACTCATATCAGACAGGTTATTGAAGATATAAGACAATTTCATATGATCAAACATGAAAAATAATGTAAATGGAAAATAACATTTTCTAAAATTTGAAAATGTTTAACGCGTAAACTATTTGATTTACTGAGCCTGTTCTGGTGTTAAATTGTAGCATATTTAATCTAGTTTAAAAATGCATAGAATATTTTTTGTCGAAAACGTGCTGCTTCGTGAATAAAATGGGGGAAACCCAAAAATATAACAGTTTATGCGATATTCAAAAGTGATCCGGGGGAGAGTGTGGGTGGGGGGCGCCGAAGTCGAAAATTTGGATTTTACATCTCAGTCATATCCCATATAAGAAAATAAAAATAAACCTACCCCCATTCAATGCAACTTACGATGTACAAGGTTACTGGGCTATAAGCTATGACCAGTTGTGTATCTAGAGGAGACCGGCGCGCACTCTTACTTAGATTTGTTTTGTTAAATTTAGTCGTTATTTTATTTCAAAAAAATACACACATCAATAAAAAATTGTGTTTTTTTAAATACTTCAAAAATGAATTCCTCTGGCTTCGAATGCTCTAGGTAACTGCTGATTATAACATTTCATTATTAAATAACTAATGATAAATTACTTATAATCAATTAATTTTGTTATTTATTGCTCGAAGTCTTATAAAATAATAAGTAATTAAATTAATTAACCAGTTGGTTAGATTCAACACCACACTAATGAATGGCATCGCCCAATTTAGGAAGCAACGAGGAATAAATTATTCAAGAAATAACTTCTATTAAAGATTTTTTTTTTGTGAGTGTACCATTCATATATCATGCGTCCAACATTATCTAATAAAATAATTCTAACTCACTATATTCATATATATGCGTAATAGTCCGTGGTACAGACCCCTTTTTATGAAATTATTAACATCTAGCTAAAATTTCGTAAATAGCTTCACCTCATCGTAACCTCCAAATCGTAATTTTATTTACGAAAATTATTGGAATGGGGGCGTTTTTAACCTGGAGGTCGGCAAACTTTGTCTATTTGATCTTATTTGATTCTTACCAACGGCAAAAATAATTAAGCCTACGTACCATAAAATACCTTAGTGTATTTTTCTAAGTTTTAGAGAAGATTTTTTCACTTTCAAGATATTCTGAAAATTAATGATGGGAATTCGTCAAGCTCTCATAAATAGGTTGTAGAAGGAAGAAAATGTATTGTTTTTGAATAATGACGAAAAAAGGAAAAATAGGGCAGTTCTTATATATTTATAATTAATTAGGAATTCGAAAATACGATAGTTTTGATAATAATCGCAAAAAGGGTAATGTAATCACATTTGTTGCCACCCACGGGCGGATCTACGGGGGGGGGGGGAGGGCTTTCGGGCTGAAGCCCCCCCCCCCCAAAATGGTAAAATATAACCATGTTTTATCGAAAAAAATATTTAAAAAGTATCTCTTAAAGTATAATTATTCGTGTAATTACATTTAAAAGGGCTGTAGGAATAACTTAAACACCATTTCATACAGGTAGTTAGTTTCTTTCTTTTTTTCCAAAGTAATTATCGTTATTTTTATGAAAAAAAAACTTTCGGGCTGAAGCCCCCCCCCAAAAATAAATCCTGGATCCGCTAGTGTTGCCACCTTATTTAGAATTTATTATGTAAACAGATGAAACAGTACTGCATAACATTCAATACTTCTCTAATTTTATGTTTTTCTCAATAATCCTTCATAAATTTGATGGTAAGGCCCACATGTCAAAATGAAACGACACACTTTAGTCAATCCATTAAAAATACGTTATCCTAAAACTAAATTAAAATTTCGACAAAAACTAAATACATAAACTTGCGTACTCAAACCCATCTGGGCATATGCCTCCCAGATTACGGCGAAATAGACGCACTTACAAAAATTAGTCATTTCAATTCCAAATTTATGACTTATAATAGGAGCTCCTTGGTACATAAAGAACAAAACCCTACATTACGACTTACGACAACCAACTATTGACCAATACGTACGTACTCTTTATTCTCGTTTTCATCTCAAACTACACGGACACATCAACAGAATTATGAACGACATGGCCACGACTGACAAGCCAATCAGAAGAAGACTGAAAAGGAGCTGGATGAGAGATCTCCTCACCTAAATCAAGGAAGTAAACATTGACCAGGAAGAAGTGATACTGCAGCGCGCTATCCTCCTTCATGCCTATAATACCAATCATTATTTATCACAACAAATCTGCTAATTGTCAATACCATGACAAGTACGGAGAGATATTTAAATTGAAAAAATAATACAAATTTTTGAAAAAGGGTTATTGAAAAAACTTTATAGTTTGTTGTCATGGTTTTATGTATAATGAGGGACAAAATTTGAGAAATTTAATTATAAATATTAAAAAAACAAAACATTTTTTTAATTTTTATAACATATAATAGTTATTTTTTTATTATAAACAATAATGTATTATTTTTGTAATAGTTTAGTTACATAAACAAATAAATAAATACAAGATAGTTTGAAGGAAAATCAGTGAATATAGTTCAGAATTTCAAGGATATTGGTCAACATTTTCAGATGGTCTATAAGTCTAAAACTTCACAAAAAAAAAAAAGAAAATAAAGATTTGTGAAGTATGAAAGTATGCTATTTCAAACGCATTCTTTAAATATAAAATTTGAAACATGTTGGGTATGTCACATCTGCTGATTGTCAATACCATGCATGACAGGTGCATAGTTACATAGCTCAAGAGAATAAAAAAAAAAATGTTAATTTAAAAATATAAATATATATTTTTTATATGCAATAAAAAGTTATGTAATATAATATTTCACACACATATACATTATTTGACCCTTAAACGTGACATCTCATGAGTTGTCGGATCAATTGATGCGTAATGATATTATAGATTTTAACATGTAAATTATATTTTTAAAAATAATTTAATAAGATGATGGAGTTGTTAAAAAAAAAAATAAATGTTTTTATACAGTTTTTAATAATCAGCCTCCTGTCAAATTAATTATCACAGTCTATCGCATTAGGCTGGAAGATTTTACAGAATAATTTATATTTATTTTAAGTTAAATTATATTGATAAATATTTAATATAATATAATAATATTTATTAATACTATACGTAATCTACTCACCGAGGTGAGACATGAGTGATTCCAAGTGATCCTCTTTCGCCGACATCTCGTGTGCTTGTGCCGGTTGTGGCGACCCCCTCCACGCTGCTTGTACAATCCTCAGCCACATTATCTTTGTTTATATCCAGCCATCTCTTTACAAATATTACAATATCATAATAATTTTCAACGTTAAATTCCCATTGAGTTGAAAAATAAACTATTCGCGTACTAATTGTTTCCTAGTTTTATCATACACTGTATCGGATCTCAATCAAACATACACAAAAAAAAAAAAAAGTAAAGGAGAATTCTGGAGTTTTGAAAATTATAATGATAGAAATTGTAAAAATCATTAATTTATTTTTGATATTTTTAAAATGAAAAAATAAGGGATTTTTCCTGTGTAATAAAAATATATTTTATCCTCCTTTTTTTTAAATATATATATTCTCATTTAAAATGTGGTTGTATGTTATTAATTGGTTTGGATAAGTGCAAGACTATCCAAAAAATATTTATATTAATAAAAAATATTATTTAAAAAATTTACTAATTTTTTTTTTATTTTGTTCCACATTTAAAAAACAAAAGGAAAGTTGAAGTATATTTCAAGTTGAGATATATCCTAGGTTTATGGCAAAATTATACACTTATTAAAATTTTTTTATAATATTCGTAGTAAATATATCAAGTTAAAAGCCAGTAGCGGATTTTTCTGGGGGGAGGGTGGGGAGTAATGGAGAGGGCTAACGTATTTATTATTATTGTTTTTATTATGATTTACAGCAACAATAATGCGTATGTTTAGCTACTACAGTAGTAATTTTCAAGGGCACTCAATGATCTATGATATATTATTCATTAATTTGACTATTTCGGAATCTTCATTGGTTTTAATGTGTGTGTTGTTATGTTTTTTTGCATACATATTTGTAATTATTGTGTAATAATATTATAGATAAATATTTAGAATTGAAAATGGGCAAAATTGCTTGAAACGACGTCGAGAAAATTAAAATGAATTGAAGCGTGGTGCGGAGGTGTAAAGGTGAAATAAACTGATATAAATTTTACAACATTATTGTTTTCATCTTCTATTTTCACGATTGGTTATAAGAGGTGATATTGCATTTTGATAATATAATATTTGGTCAATAGTGAACTTTTTGGAATCTAAACAAGAGAAATGATTTAGGGTTAAGGAATTTAGTTCAATAAATGTTTAATTATTACTTAAATTGGATGTTCTAAGGTTATAAGGTATCTTCAAGGAATATATAAGCCTTTATATTTTCAACAATCTTTTATTTTACTTCCAATGACGTTTCGAGTTAATTGGCTCAAATCATCAAAAACATTTTTTTTATATACTACAATGTATCTCAATATATAATTTCAACTATGAACAACTATTTGTAGTATACCAATTGTCACAGATATGTTCCCATACAATTTAATATTAAAAAGTAGACGAAGGAGGTAGTGCCGTACAGGGGACATGCATCAATTAATGCGCGAAAATTTAAGAGAGATGGTGACGAGGAATATATTTATCTGTGACAATTGCTATACTACAAATAGTTGTTCATGAAATTATATTTGAAATACATTATAGTATGTAAAAAAATGTCTTTGATGACTTGATGATGAGCCAATCAGCTCGGAACGTTGTCGGAAGTAAAATAAAAGATTGTTGAAAATATAAGGGCTTATATATTCCTTGAATACAATGATGCTTTTAGTTATAATTTGTTCTTGTAGCGTGTTTAAATTTAGTGGCTTCTTCTTCTGCGTTCTTCCTTATATGGCTAGGTCAGGAACTAAAATGAAGAATTCGGTAATCCACCTCAGGAACTGCAGGCTTCCATTTAGCAACTGAAGTAATGATTTAAAAAAGAGAATATGCCGATAGTTCAAGTGTTTGGCTCAGATCGAAGAAACTAACAAGGACCGATGAAAAAATAATTATTTTCCTATTTTTGGGGAGAAACTTCAGTCCGAAAGCCCTCTCCTTTAAATCCCCAATATTATATATAAAATCTATATATATAATATTACTCTTCATTTATAAATACATTAAAATAAATGTTCATTAGTAAGGGGGAATATAATTGGTAAAACGACCTTAAATCCAAAAACCAAAATAAATGATAGAGATTGTGTCTTGTGATTAAATTCGTTTCAAAATAATACAATTAAATTTATTACAAGCTATCACTTAAAGTTATCATAAGCTTATGATTTCCATAATTTATATGAAATGGTTTACTTAATGTACAAATGTAGTTTAACAGTGAACCATATAATATACTCACTCATACACATACATATCATTAGTTATTGTCTAATTTATTTATTTAATATCTTCCTTTGCTCTAGGTACTAACGAACAAACAATCGGTGTCCCACATTAATTAAAATATTCTTAGGTATATATCCTGCCTGATAAAAAATATATTCGTCACATAGTTTTCTTTTTTTACGTTACATCGATGATTACAACAGTTACAAAAAAGTAGTACAAGTGCAATTAATTTGATTACATTACACAACGATGGAGACGTCAAAAAGAACCGATAAACTGTTTGATTAAAACAGCATCCAAATAGCTTCAATCGTTGTTTGTTATAGATAATGTATAAACTGGCATATAAAATATAATATATTCTAATGAACTTTTCGAATTAGTTTATTAAATTAAAAATAAACGTTACCTTGTGATATCCTAAGCTTGTGCACAACGTCGCCTTCCGTCTTTTATATTTTTAGTTCGGGTGAAATATTAATAATGGCCCATTTTAAAAACAATATACTACTGAATAAATTTAGATGTGGAACAAATCCAAAAACCAGATCGATACCAAAAATAAAGAAATATATTACCTCCACACTTACCTTAGACTGCTTTCAAAAAATGCTAGTAGAACAACCTGTTAACTTGAAGATAGGACTTGTTTTCATTCTAACAGGTGCCGTTAGATTTATCTCGAAGAGGACGAATATTGAAAATAACACAGAATCATTCTCCGCTGAAATTAATTTGATGTATAGTGTTTTTTTTTGTATGAGAAGGGGTGCGAATGTTTTCGACGAGTAACAAATGCTTGTACTAACCTTGTATACTTTTTTTTTTTTTTCATTAAAGAATTTTCTATATCTTACACCATTGAAGATTTGCAGATAATTGTGAACGAGGAACGGAAAGTCTTAAGGCACAGATGAGAAGTAGGTGTAGGAACTTATGAAGTAAAACAAGGGAATATTCCAAAATTTATAAATACCAAAATTATACAGAGATCTGCCATTTTCCCCTACTCATCCTAATCAAAAAGAAAAACTAAAGCGTGTGCTTTAGAGCTCGCAATAGAAGTGAAAACATCAATAAGGATAGCAATATGAAATATAAATTATAAATAATAGCCCATTATAAAGAGGATGAAATGTCGGATTTTTAGTTTCTGACATATTTTAATCCATATCTTTAATAAAACTCGATATCATTTGGTTTTCGATAATATTTTTTTCCTTTTCGCCTCCCTAAAACGACATCGCGTTAAGATACAATTTTGGATAACAACTCATCACAAAGAGGATGAAATGATGAACATTTCTCTCGCTAACACTATGCAGGTCCGATTATTAGTTTTTGAGATGTTTTAATCTATATGCAAAAACACTTCAATTAGTCGACTCCAGCCGACTTTTCCCGAGCGTTACACATCGGTTATCTGACGGCTTAATTTAATTTACTCTCCACAAAAAAGCGCCAAACGCGCCTAAAAAAGTTTTCACTTCGAAAAAGTCAGGATTCAATCGCAATGTTTTAATTATTTAAACATTCATTTCCGAAAGCACAACTTCTTAGAAATTATTACTAAAGATCATCAACTAAACAGATAAACCGAAAAAAACATAGAGGTATAAAATGCAATTTATAAAAGAATTTTCATGGGATGGAGATAATGAGTATTGTCATGGTGGGAAAATGTCAAATTGTTATGAAAATTCAAATCGAAAAAAATATAACATATAATAAAAAACTTCAGCTCAATTGCACTTATTAATAAAAAAGTCTATTGGCATACATTTTATTATAAATTAATAATGAAATTTGAATTGGTAAATTAAATATCAGTACAATAGTTATTTTTCTCATCATTGCCTAAAAAATCCGAGGTTCATTTCAGTATATGCGATTTACAAAAAGTGCACATAATTTGTTCATAAGTCCTGAGGAACATGTTTTTAATAAGGTATGTGAAAATCAATGTTGACTAAAACTTCCCTAGAGATTAAATTTACATTATATTAAATTTAAGGGATATTTTAAATAACAAAAAAAAAAAAACAGTCTTACGATATATTAGATGATACAAATATGATAAATGGTCTAAATATCGGATTTAAAAGAAATCTCGAAACGTCCAGTACAAATTAATAAAATAAATTTTTGGGTGAAAAACTGTTTTAGATTTTCATATATTTTACATAATATATATATATATAAAAAAAAAACTGTACCACTACAACCCATGAAGGATCTGGGCTTCAGTACTATTTAGGGAAAGCACTGTTTCTAGGTCAACGGTTGTGCAAGGAGGTGATTTGACCGAGATCACGCTCAACCGCCAGGTTTTTCCCCTTAAATAATTATTTTAATTAAGGGTACCCACTTTATAAAGGCTGGGTGTGCCCCAGGAGGGTCTCCCGACCCAGGGTTGCCCCACGGCCAATCAAACAGATAAATATACTAACCGAATTGCATAATATACTAACCGAAAACAAAATTAAAAGTAACTCAAGTAATTAAAATCCTTACAGCTCCTTACTTTGTCACAAACAAAATCATCCGTAACGACCTTAATGTTCCTTATGTTTCTGACCTGGCCCAATCCAGATACCTTTCCTTCCATAACAAACTTCAAAACCATCCTAACCCTCTCGTTTCTAACCTTGCTTCCTTTTCGATCCCTGACAACCCTCCGAGGCGTCTGAAAAGAAGATGGCCTCGAGATCTCCTTTTGTAAATACATTTTTAGAGTGCTACCAGTGGGTAGTTTCTCAACAAGTGAATTCATGCTATTATATTATTTTGTTCACATTTACTGAATGTATTTTTACTTGTAATACAGTTGTAAATATCATCAATAAATAAAAAAAAAAAAAAAAAAAAAAAAAAAAGTAACTAAATCAAACAAATGTAATATAATATAATTCATTAGATTTTTTTCTTCTTCAAATTTTGCAACTTTTGGCGCGTGCGTGAATCCAGCAATTTAAAGTTCTTTTTTTATCGTAAAAGTTTGTCTTAACATATAATTTTTGGTTATTACAGGAATCCATCGTTACAAGGAATTACAGGCAGACCCATGTGGTAGTTTCAAATGTTAAACTAGGATTAAAACTTATAATAGCGTGTTATGCGAAATCATACCCTGGTTTGCAGAAGAATCTACTGGAATTGAAGTTTGAATATAAACAAAAACCAGCGAGGTTTAAAATGTATTTCTTTGTTTAACACAATGAAGATGTTTGTCTTAACATATAATTTTTGGTTATTATAGGCATCGTTAAAAGGAATTACAAGGCCAAGTGGTAGTTTCAAATCTTAAACTAGGATTAAAACTTATACAAACCTGTTATGCAAAATCATATCCTGGTTTGCAGAAGAATCTTCTGGAATTGAAATTTGAATATAAACAAAAACCAGCGAGGGTTAAAATATATTTCTTTATTTATCACAAAAAAGAAAACAAATTCTCATCCTCAACACTTTACTTGGCAGAATCAATGCCTAGAACTGTCCATAGCAAGAGCGGTATCCACAGTATCCACTATCATTCACTGCACTGACTGCCCACAAGTGAATCCGGTCAAATCAACTTGATTGCTGTATATTTTTGGCCGCATGAGCTGAGTACAAGGTCGATATTTAAAAATAAGATTAAACTCAGTATTTATTCGGAGAAGAATTCGCCTCTTACACGTGCTCAACTACGAAAAGTAATCCTTGCCGTTGGCTAAAGAGAGGTTTGGATCGGGTTCTTTGGCTCTTTTGCATTCAACGATGTTTATTTTTTTCTCATTTCGAATATGATCCGATAATTTAAACAAGACTGCTTCGACACTAACGAAAATAGGAAAAGTTTATCCAGGGTGTCTCAGTTCTTAACAATCAAACTCTGAGGCTGATTCTAGACAAATTTTCCAACAAAAAAGTTCATTTGATGCATGCGCCGGTTCCGAACGGATACGGAGTTAAGAACAATTTTGTTTTTTTAGTGGATTTTATTGAATAAGAAGGAATTGCTCAAAAACAGTTCAAGATAATTATATTCTAAGTATATCATGATAAAATAAACATTTTTTTTTTTTAACAGTGATCAAATTTACTAAGGTCAATGATAAAAGGGACTAATTCAGGAGATCTAATATGACCGCTGTACTGCTGCAGTTACAGTAGCCATACACGAGCAGTATATCTCTTGACAGCGGCCATATTAGACCTACTGAAAGTCCCTTATCATGAACAGTTTTCGAGAAATTCATTCTTATTCAATAAAAAACGTGACCTCCTTAAAAAAAAACATCACAAAATTGACCTTAATTCCTATTCCGTCTGGAATCATTCCATTCATCAAACGCTTAGAATCATTCCCCCCCCCCCTGACCCTCAGAATTTGAGCATTAAGAACTAAGGCACCCTCTGTATACCCTTTCCTAATTTCATATAAGACATCAAGAAATAGAATTTGATAAAACCGAATACCATCAAAAATCAGAATTATCCTATTGCAGAGAGTGCTCTGTGATAATTAACGTAAAACATTTCCTATTTAGTCTGCCTTAAATATAAAATCACACCGACCTCTATGGAATTGCCAGAAAACCTCAAAGAGCTCTTAAAAGACAGCGAAAGCAACATCGAAAAAAATTATGAATTTAAAAAAAAATATGTTTATACTAAAAGCTATAAGGAAAAACAGACAGCATAATGCCAAAAATTTGATAAATCAAACAGAGCTAATGTTGTTTGACATTTCAGCAGATTTTTGGGTGTTTGCTCTTTTTACTTTCATACCTATATTAGGTAAGGAAAGTATTGCAATCGGATAAAAGTTACGATATGCGGTTTTTGACGGATCTGTATGTTTCAGAGCCCCTTAAGTCCGAAAAAAGTATTTTTAGCCATTGATCTGTCTGTCTGCGCCAAGATTTTCTCGGGAAATACTGAACCGATATTGTTGCTTCTTTTTCTATTTTGTAGTTTTTTAACTACTGATGACTGTGACACAAATCGGATGCTCCATGCGCAATAAATGAAAAACACGTGTGTCTATATACTGTTGCGCAAAAACAGCTCAAATGATTTTGATGAAACTTTCCTACAATGTTCTAGTAATTGTCCTTTCAATTTTCGTATAAGGACTAAATTCTCGAGAAAATACAGGAAAATAAGTTATAAAGAAAGAAAAAATGTTTTGGGGACTAACTCGCTAAGTATGTTCTATGGTAAAATACAACTTTTGAAAGGTAATTAAATTAAACAGCCTATTCTATTTTCTATTTTAATTTATTACTTTCGTACCTATACTTGGTGAGGAAAGTATTGCAATCCGGACTATTTTTTTTTAATTGCTTTTTATTTTTTAAATATAACTGCTCTAAACGAAATCTTAATTAAAATATTTCTCTACGAAACAAGCATGTTAATGCCGTGAGGAAAAGGCCTGTTTGTCTCACACTTTTTAATTTTCTTTGAAGAGAATGTTACTGCTTCTCTTTGGAAAGGTCTAAAGTTTCTGAATTTTTTTTTAAATTCTTAATGTCATATATCTATGTTTTTCAAATTTCGAATTGAGCGGATAATTCGCGAATCGTATGTTTTTCACGCCCAATTAACTTAAATGGATTGATATGTTGTCAATTAGTTTTGTAGAAGAACTGAAAACGAAAGATAAAAAGCATCATTCCTATCATCAATCCGAATTCCCAGTACACACATAATTGAACTATAGCATTATAAATTAAATTAATGTTCTAAGAATATAAGCTTCGCTGGTTTCCTCTTCACATTTATAGAGAAACTTACAAAAAAACTGTGTCATGCTCTTTCCGTGTCTGTTACAGAGAGCATGCGGTATTCGGAAAACAATGTTACTATAAAAAGGATTGAAAATTTGAAAATTCCGCCAAGAGAGAGATTTCAATGTTCATTATGGTCCCCCCTCTCCCAATATTTGATACCGAACGACGCTCATGTAAAAATTTACAGTTTTGCAAAAACCAATTTGACGAGACAGATGAGAATGACCCATATACCCATAAACAACCTTGGCGATACCGGCATGTGCAGGTCATGGCCTGCCGGAACAAAATTTGGTCAATGGTCTCTGTTTACCGCCGTGGTCCACTAGCTCACCACACTTAAATCGTTAATACACTTTGCCTATCTGGTAGGGTTAAGAGCACTAGAGGATCCACGATTTAATTTTGGGGGGGGCTTCAGCCCGAAAGTTTTTTTTTCATAAAAATAACCATAGTTGCTTTGGAAAAAAAAGAAAGAAACTAACTAACTATATGAAATGATGTTTAAGTGTTTCCTAAAGTCCTTTTAAATGTAATTACACGAACAATAATACTTTAAGAGATAATTTTTTTCCATAAAACATGGTCATATTTTACCATTTTTGGGGGGAGGGCTTCAGCCCCAAAGCCCTCCCCGTAGATCCGCCCGTGGTTAAGAGAGAAAACGCCAAACGTTTGAAAACAATATTTCTTGTTTTCAAACGAATATACTGTTCATTCAAACAAATAACAGCGGTTTTTATTTAGTTGTTCCGTTTACAGCTAGTCGAGTCTTTGTTTATGCGTTTTCTTTTCCAGACTCTTACCATTTTTCAGCAAGAGTCTCAGCCCATCATGAAAATAACGAAACCGTGTTTTTTACAAAGCATGTTTTTTCAGTACAGTTTCTGGCTGTAATTAATGCTAGATATAAATAAATACATGCGACTAAATTAACTTAAACAGATTTGTAGATTGTTTCTGGCAAAAAATGTTTCGTAACTTTTTGGTTTAACTATTTAACTATTTATTATATAATTACGAAAATTAGATATAATTTTAAATATTTGAGCAAATTTCTAAACGTATGCATAGCGTTCATATCGCATGTTTGTCTTGAAAAATAATAATTTTTGCATGATTTGTACTAATAATAAATTTTAAATAAACATTTATGTTCTATTATTAAATATGAATTCAAAAAAATACCCTCTACTACGTCATTTCAGTCCCTCCAAAAATAACGTAGTGGAAACTTGTAAATAGCAAGACAATTTAATTTTTCACTGAACAAATTAATGCGACATTAATAATGAATATCTAATGGAGGACTCATTAAGACTTGAAAATGGCCCTTATTATGGTCGAAACGTCGTAATAAATAGCTAATCAATAAAATTTTGGTGAATAATGGCCTAATTTATGTAAAAAATAAAACCTCAAGACACCAATTTTAGGAATAATGAACAAAAAAAAAAAACAATTTATTTATTTTTCTAACTTTTTTTTTCCCTCGCCTTTTAGGCTATATAGGGTTTTCCTGGGTCCGGGGTGAGGGCGGGGAATAAATACCACCGGAGCTATATCATTTATAGTTTCAGTAATCAGGTTGCGGGACCACGCATTAGCCCGCTCAGCCACACCGATTTATTTACAGGCAATACTCCATAATTTATTTAAAGTAAATTTACAATATATACATCGCAAACAATAATATATATATATTTTCGACTGGTTCACTTTTGCTGCTCCGAGACGTTCTAAGAATAGGAGCGGTTTTTTTTCCCTTTTATGTCTGAAGGCTATATTGATTTATTTTCGATGGTAATAAAACTCATAATTAAGGCCCAAATTCATATACAGCAAAAGACATTGAAATATATTGAATAATATGCCTTAAAAATCCGGTGACGCGTAGGAAATATGCTATCAAAAGTATGATGATATGCACGTATAATATGCATTTAAATTACGAGACATGACTATAAAGATAAAATATTGAGCCATTAACATATTTTGAAAAAATCACAATAAATAAATGAATTCATTATTAATGTTTTTCATATTTGCGTTTTTTTGTATTATTTTTTTTTACTAACTTAATTTTAATATATTTATATTTATTATTTTTAGTTTATTTATGCACTTTTTTTGGAAACTTCAAATATTATAATAACAATCCTATAGTTTAAGTTAAAAAAAATGAAGTATTGAAATATTGGAAAGATTCTAACTGTATTTATAGATGGTTTAAACTATAGTTATTAATAGTTAATAAAATGAAATTAATAATAGCTATGCTAATTATGGTTATCGTCAAACTATACTTAAAAAAATTATTTTTAGATGATCCAATCTGTAGAACACGTTTTTAGTTGAATTTAACTTAAAGTATAGTTAGTAAATGCTAGAAATAAAATTAACATATTGTCAAATGTTAAAGAAATAATTTGTAATTTTGTAACAATTTTCCACGCCTAAAAAAAATTTAATTCATTCACAATACATGGATTTTGAACCTAAACACACATATAAATCAAATTTCGACCTAATGTGCAACGTTAACATTTTTCCAAAATATTAAGAATGACTTATTTCATAAATATATCGACTCATGTTTTTAATATAAACGTGAAAAACAAATATGCATTTGCATACAAATCCCAGCTTTAGTCATATCAAAAACAAAGGTTCGATGGCGATAATCCGAACATTTTCTGTACATTCTCCCTTCATGGATTCCTTTCTGAATTTATTCTTACTAAACATAAACTTGACTGAACATAATTCTCCCATTTACGCCTCTGTCTAATCCTCGGCCTTCTACTCGTCAGTTCAGTCCTAATTACACTTTTGTGTTGCGTTCACTTTCCAACCCAATAATTTTACAAGGCTATTTCATTTGCCTCGATGATATAACTTCTGCAATAAGTGGAGGAAGCAATGTTCTGTGAAATAATTCCAAATGACACGATGCAAATGTTAGGATATTACTAAAGGCTAAATGTAGTTGAAGGTATATAAAGCGACTGATAAATATGAAAAGCCACAACTATTATTATTAACCTACTGTAGAAAGTCTGGGAATCAGTTCCCTTGAACTTTTATGTAGAATGTCATAAAACAGTAAAACATATATTAACTGGAGTAACTATAATTACGTGTTATTATAACAAGAAAATTCTATGAAAATGTACGTGAAAATTCCGCGTGCTGATACTGATGCTGATGCGTTACTCATCGAACAGAGCATATAAGGATTTTGACTTTTCATAAATGTTAATTTAATTGTAAGTATTAGTGGAATTTAATAATATAATTATTACGTTAGGTTATAATTGGAAACTCCAACCACTCAGCCTTATGTCTCCGAAATGTAGGTAATGAAAATTTTGTTTTTTTGTCCTCTCTTTCCTCGACTTTAAGGCTGGCTATACGGGGTTTTCCCTGGCCAGAGATGTGGGCGGGAATTTAAAAGACTCCTTCTGCACCGGAACGCGAACTCGCGACTATTTTTTTATCAATTGTCTCCGATATCAGGTTGCCGAGCAACGGCGGTGCTGTGCACACAAGTTAGCCCATTCGGCCACTCCGCCCCAGGTATAGAATACAACTAACCTTTCACCAAATTAATCATCATAAAGACAAAAAAAATAAAAGCAAATCGAATATCACTACCACGACACCCAAACGCATACCCCATTGACTTCGATTCAATTATCATTTCTTTCTGACAATCATGAGGTGATAGAACATTTTTCCAAAATACTACAATAGCGTCGTTGTTTCACCGGAAGAGCGATGTGTCGACTGACTTAGACCAGGCTCTGGACCGAATTGTACTAACTGGAAACCCGGACTGGTGAGTCACTTCTCAAGTTCAGCAAACAGAGAACTACCTTTCACAGAATCGCCCCATCATAAAAATATTTTCTAATGACCCATGTGCAGATAGAGACCAGCCAGTATCTTGATGATGTACCACAGGACATGCAATATCTACTTCTATGAATTATTTCTTCCATGTAGTGAATTTTCCCAGACCCAGTAATATTCCGTGGTACAGACCCCTTTTTATCAAATTATTAACGTCCTGCTAAAACTTCGTAAATAGCTTCATCTCATCGTAACCTACAAATATTTTATTTACAAAAATTCTCGGAATTGGGGCGTTTTCAATCTGGAGATCGGCAAACTTTGTCGATTTAATTAGGTACAAAAAGCTCGTTAATACCCATTTGAATTCCACTAGAAACGTACGATAACTTAATCTACAAAGTCGGAAAAAAAGTTGCCTTCAAAAATATTGAGGCGTGACCTACACCCCCAAATTGTCAAAATAACGAGGTTATATAGGCCAAACGGCCAAATTTTTTTGTATTCTACCTTTTTTATCGATTTTGTGCTGAAGTTATCTTATGATTCAAGCACAAATTAAATGAGTATTTAGGGTTTTTTAGTACCTAATTAAATAGACAAAGTTTGCCGATCTCCAGATTGAAAACGCTCCAATTCCGAGAATTTTCGTAAATAAAATGTTTGTAGGTTACGATGAGATGAAGCTATTTACGAAGTTTCAGACGGATGTTAATAATTTGATAAAAAGGGGTCTCTACAACGCAGTATACCTGTTCAACTGCTATTTTACATCTCTCTGGCGTTCCATTTTAATCTAGGGATTGACCGATTTAGAAATTTTGGCCGATATCGATATTTCGAAGTCCAATATATCTGCCATATCAGCCTTTTTTATTTTTCCTCAAGTTTACAAAGTTTAACTGGAATATCCTACTTATTGATAAATAAATGAATAAATAAACCATCTGCGCATCACCCAATAAACAATTTTTTACCGATGAAGAAGCAATGAATCTATATATCAGTATTTTTAAATGTATATAATTGTAAATAGTTAATTTATTTATGACCACACAGACATGCAATCTGTACTTATAACTTGTTTTAAAGGGACAACAGTCCCCGAATAATAACAAATATTTTTATTTCATTCCATACCGTACGATATTGCTTGCAAAATTCTCTTAGTTGCTGAATTTATCGTATTAAATTGTATTGCTGACCTCTTACAAGACATTGAAAAAATTATCAATATTTTTAAAAAGGAATTGTTTATACCAAAACATATAAAGAAAACAAATAGCACAACACCAATCACCCTTTAGACGTTAAACAAATAATTAGATTAAACAAATCTAGTGCGCACAACACCTGACCTTAGCTCTACTTTGAATAGAAACTATTTTCTGGAAATGTTGGACCATTATAAAAATTTTGAAGTGCATTTTTAATGGAGCTACAGCTTATTAAAGCTTACAACTAGCAAATCATTAATACGGTTAAAATAAGAAAAACCCTATTAATTATATCAGCGGTACGCAATAAAAACGGCGTTACTCCATCTGTTTTTGTAAATCACATAACTCGAATCTTTCAACTATACATATATATGTATATAGATGTACAGGTTGAATATACAGATATACTTTCAAATCTCTCCAGGCAAATATATATATATTGCCTAGAGGGATTTGAAAGTATATCTGTATATTCAACCTATAAACGATTATGGATTGTATGCTTATTAGTTATCAAACTGTTATTTTCCATTGTAAAGTTTAGTAAAATGAAATTACGAGATTTGCATTGCCTGTCATGGACAGGTCAAAAGTTGTCACGATACTTGTAAGCGGATATTGTTAGGATATCATAAAGGGAAAATTCATCAAATTATTCACTAATTTAGTTTTCTGAAAGGTTACATGATGATTTTTCGGAGTAAATGAATGATAGATATCTAATTATTTAAATATAATATCAGATCTAGCCTTATTAAACTACAGTAAATATATCTAAGGTTATAAAAAATCCATGAAATATTTTTATATTTGACTTCTTTTTTACACAAGTACAATGGAATAGTATCTCAAACAATGTCATTGCCTTGATTCCGTGGATTTTAGTTACTTTTTGTATTATACTGACTAATTTGTGGGACTTCGTTATTTGGCCTCAGGGAACCTCAAAACGTTTATTTCCGTTGAAAACTCAGATTTGAAAATTTTCACTATCGCAATACTCTTCCTTACTATATATTTCATATATTGATAAGTGAAAGTTAAAAAGATAAATAATTTTTTTTTAAAAAATCATAGAAATAGAGCTCTGAAAACAACTTTTAAAAAAAACTGTGTTTAATTTTTACAATTATTGTAACTTTTTACAATGTTTTACTAAAATGTATATGCATAATATTTAGAAATAAAATCTATCTTAAAAATAATTACTTATATGCAATCCAAACAATTTATTTTCAAAACTGTTTATGGATAATTAATTATAACAATTATTTAATATATTCATTACTCACTAAGTTATTGTTTTAATGAGCAATTTTTCAGACTAGTATTTGTTTAACCTTAATTACTACTAAATTATTATAATGAGTGTAAAATTCGATTAAAGTTCGGTAATATGTTACTCAACATGATTATCATAGATGCATTGGCAACTAAATTCTAAAATATACTTTCATACCTTATTACAATAAATGCACTTTTAAAACGTTATCGCACATGATAAATATCAACGGTTTAAAAAGGAATTAAACAATTCCCAAATTCATTTACAGAATAAATAAGACACTGCATTTTTTGTTTTGAAAGTTTTTTGTATATAAAAAGTTTATGCACATATACAGGATTTCATCAATATGGTACATTCGCAGGACCATAAATCTTTCCATATTCTCAAATAGGGAAAGTTTCTAAATTCAGCGCTGAACTCACCGATGATACTGTTTCGTTCAGTTTAGAGATGGATCCGACGACATCCATCAGTGAGCGCTGAGTTTAGGCACTTGTCTATAGTGATTAAATTTGTTTATATCGGGTTGGCTGGTTTGTAATCATCTGTTGCTTTCTTCCTAGAGCAACAAGCGTTAAATCCTGTATCTCCAATACCAAAGTTTTCTCCATCTTCTATAGATTCCGGCATTGGCTTGTTGAGGGTTTCAGGAAGGAACAGAATGAAGAAACCAGCAGTGAATGCCGCCAGAGCAAAAATTATCGTAGGCAAGCTCTTGTCAACAGAATGCTAAAACAAGGAGAAAAAAATATTACATAATAAAGCAAAGATGGCATTAATAATTTTACTTAGTAATTGTAAAAAAAAATGTAACTCTATTAGTCAGTCCGTGGCACAGACCTCTTTTTATCGAATTGTTAACATCACCCTGAAACTTCGTATATAGTTCCATCTCATCGTAAACTACAACTATTTTATTTACGAAAATTCTTGAAATTGGGGCATTTTCAACCTAAAGGAGGGGCAAAATTTATCTACTTAATTAGTTACTAAATACTCGTAAATACACATTTGCTTTCTACCTTGGATCCTAAGATAATTTGATCACAAAATAGATAGTAAAAAGTGCCCTATAAAAATGTTGGACCGTTTGTCCAATATGAGCTCGTTATTTTGGAAAATTTGGAGGTGTAGGTCAGGCCAAACGGTTAAATATTTTCGAAGGCCACCTTTTTTCTCGCTTTTGTGATCAAATTATCTTACGATCCAAGTAGAAAGCAAATATGTATTTACGAGTTTTTAGTACCTAATTAAATAGACAAAGTTTGTCCCCCTCCAGATTGAAAACGCCCCAATTCCAAGAGTTTTCGTAAATAAAATAGTTATAGATAAAGATGAGATTAAACTATTTATGAAGTTTAAGGCGGATGTTAATGATTCGATAAAAAGGGATCTGTACCACGGACTATATTGTTCAAAACTCAAAATTGATCAACCATTACTTCAAATATATCATCCCATGATCTGTTCTTGAGTGAGGACTGATAAGCTATAAATTAAAGAAGTAACTACTTATTAGAAAATAGAAATACTTAGTAGGTGGGAAAGAAATGTATCTTAAGATACTATTTCGCTGGTACTGCCCACCGAGTCGACTGTTAGCAGTTAAGTACTGCTTTAGTGGATAGAAAGGAGTCTATTTCACTGCCGTCCGCAGTTGAAGCAGAATACTTCCACTAAAGCAGTAGGCGTTGTGAGCAATACCAGCAAAATAGTACATTTAGTCATTGAAATAGCCGACAAATAAAACTTACACGAATATTCTTCCCCCCTCTCTCTCACCCTCCCCTCCCTCGTTTTTTTCTAATTCTATGATTAGCCTAAAGCTAGTTTTAAACAATGATGTGACCAAAACTGAAATTCGATACGATTTTTACCACCATCCATAAAAAAATTTAAAAACCGCTTCTCCTACGACCAATTAGCAACATTTCAACCTTTTATATATTAATAAACTTATATAACCGTCGATGGTAACAATAGATTCGTCAGACGAAAGCTTGGAGAGGAAGAAAGCAAGACTGGAGAGAAAGAAGAATAAAAACATTAATTATTTCAGAATCAACAAACAATTTTTCGAAAAAATCTTCAATACGAAAATTCTGTGTGAATATCCTAAACAAATTTAAAAACTTAAAATTTAAAAAAATTCGAAAACTTAAAATTAATGAGTAAAACAATACATATTGCTTGACTAAGAAGATTCTGAAAACGCGTATAAAAAATAAAGGTTCTAGTGAAAGATAAGAATAAAAACACAATAAATGAACTGAATGCATGAGATTTGAATCTAAAAGAATGAACGAAGTATGAAAAAGGATAAAAGCCTTTCGCATCTTAAAAACAAAAATTATTATAAATAAAATCGTACAAATTATTCAATCATTCTGACAGACTTTCATAAGTAGGTGTGGTTTACAAAATCAGCTTAAAAGAGATCTGACTTTAATTCGAAATTTATAACCAATCTATTGTTCGAAGGGCAAAATTTAGTCAAATGAATTGTTTATTTAACCAAAAATTATCACTAGTATTCTTAGGTGGTTAACATAATTGTATATTGTAGATAAAGCATATAGTAGCATAATAAAAAAATAATGATAAAATGCATAATGGAGATAAGAGCAGTAAAAAACAATCTGTTATTTAACAATATCATGAGGCAATAAAAAATGTGAGGTAATTTACAATTTTTTTTCTTTATTGCCATCAAGTATACAAAACTATTTTGGCTGTTTGATTATATCCGTTAGCAACCATCCAAAATACCAAGTTACTTGATTATTAATATTTTTATATTTTATAATAATACTCGAAGCATGGCATATAGTTACTTTAGCACACATTAAAAACAATAAAATCTTACTAATAGCAATATTAGCGGGCAGAGCATAGCCGCAAGTCTTGCCCACGCAGAAGAAAAACCAATGCCAACATTTCGAACCGCTGTCGGGAGAAGTTCTGCGTTGTAGTTGAAAACTATAGCGAAGCCTCCGGAAACGAAAAACTTTCCGATGCAGGCAACAGCAGCAATGGCATTGGGCATGTCTAAAAATAAAAATAAAATATAATTAAAAGTTGTAATAAATACTATAAACAGTAAATGAGTATCGAATACATTTTATTTTGTATGTAAATGTTTGCTGATTGTTTAGTAGATTTGATAGATTAAAGATTCATTAGTAATATATTTGTTTTAGAAGGATCAAAAATTAATATTGTTTGAAAAGTTCCATAACAATGAGTGCAAATAAATAGGTTAGAGTTGAAATATGGAATGCTACTCGCCCGTTCAAAACCTTTTGCTCTGTCCACAAATGTAACCGAGCAATACTGTTTGATCTAGATTTTTTAAAGGATTGGGAGCAGGTTAATTAGTTTGTAAGATGTCATTCCTGTTGGAAGGTTTGCGTTGGATGATGGTGGAAATATGGTTTAAAAAAAAAAAACCTGTACCACTACAACTCGTAAAGAGTCTTGGGTTCAGTACTATTTAGGGAAAGCACTGTTTCAACGCCAGCGGTTGTGCATGGAGGAAATTTGGCCAGGATCACGCTCAACCGCCAGGTTTTTCCTCTTAATCAATTATTTAATTTAGGGTACTCATTTTATAGAGGCTGAGTGTGCCCCACTGAGAGGGTCTCCCTATCCCAAAGTCGCCTCACGGCCAATGAAACAGAATAAATATTTTTTCTGCCGTGAGCCGGGATTCGAACCTGGTATCTTGAGCATTGGAAGCTCAGTGCCCTACCAATGAGCTACTCCGCTCAATTGATTATATTAGTAATGAATTAATTGTTTCTAATTATAAGGACAGAGTTAGTACAATTTGTTATAACCAGTTATCCAAAAAATGTTACAAAAAACTAAACAAATAGGTAGCTAATTAATCTAGCAACGTTTTGATAATTACCTTGTGGGATGAGAGCAACCACCGTACATGACACACCTCCGAGTAGCAACATTATGCTGGTGAGTGATCTTCTGCCAGTCCTATCAAGCAACATGATTACCATTGTATAACAAGGAATTTCCACCAGCCCCAAGACGAAGAGAATGAAAAATGGATTTCCAGGCATATTGTCACCGGCGAGGGATAGACCATAATAGGCAACACTGGCAGCAAACCTAAATTTATAAACAATCAAATATTAAATATGTATACTAAAACAAAAAAATTAATTATGTTTACAATGTATATGTGTTTATTTAAGGCGTTGATGCAACCCATTATCCATTTATCACTGTAGTAGATCCATGGAAATAATCCTTTATTCCTGAGTTTTTAAAGATATGATGTAGTGGTTTATATTAATGATCAACAGACTGTTCAGGAAATCCGGATATGATTAATGTTAAGGGAATTTCATGATATTGTTTATTGTATTTTTTATTCAGAGATATAACAATCTGTCACACTTGCAATGATTATAGTGGACACATTAACACTATATATACTGAAAACAAAAGCAAAATAACAACTAAATAATAATTATCAAAAAGTATATACAATAAAAAATTAAAATAACCAAAAGTTCATGGTATTATAATACAAAACGGTATTGGGGCGGAAAATTAGTCCTCCTGCCCGCTACCTGGAACCGCCACATGTGCTTGCTCAAACATTTTATCTAGAAGTTGTATTTTTATTTCTTATTATTTTAATGTAAATATTCCATTTGAAATGTAACCCTTTCCAATTCTAATATAATCATAAAGGGTTACAATTGAAATGAAAATAGGTTACATTCGATTTGGAAAGGGTTGCCTTTGGAAAGGCAAAAGTTACATTTGAAATGGAAAAGGTTACAATTGGATTGTACTGTTATATTTATTAGATTTTAAAAAAAAATTATAAAAAATATTTTAACACATCTTATAACATACATACCAAATGTACGATAGGTTAATCATCCTCATTCTAAGCCTTGGAGTCCTAAATAAGTCAAGAAAACCTCCCGATGGTGCTGTTTCATCCGTGGCTTTGTTTGCTTGACCCTTCGATACATAGTAAGCTCTGTCTATTTTTTCACCTCCGTTGAATTTGACTCCTTTAGCCACTATGTTAACACTCTCCGCTATTCTTCCTTTAGACCAAAGCCACCGCGGGGACTCGTCCGCCAACCTATTTATTATCATTCAATCATTAATATATAAATTAATTAATGAGAATAAATTAGTATTTTAGGGAAGGCTGAACCGCCTAAGGCGCTTGTAATAAGTAATCAAAGTTAATCAACGCCGAATGTGTTAAGTACTACAAGATGGGTAATCGCCCGAATCAGGTGATCACACTACAGAGAAGCTATATGAGATCCGTCAGTCTAATGGAAACTCACTCCATGACGGTATGAACCTATCCCGTGGAACTTTGTCCATAGATCCCTAAAGGTTTGAATCCTATACAGCCTGTTTGAGGGAAAAAAAATATGGGCCTTTGTGCGCCTGCTGACACTGAGCAGCCATAATCCATGAATCTAGACCAATTTGTCGCTGTCCTTGAACCCGAGAGATTCGGTGTGAAAGACATGGCCAAATTAGCCACTAAAGGATCGCCTGCCACTACGTCATGGATTCCATAGTTGGTAGCTACGTTTCGTTTGGTGACACCCCATCCAGACTATCTGTACCTCTTCAAGCAATATACGTCTGTAAGAAGACCACGTCACGCCTCCTTAGATCTACATGGTCTATAAAGCAAACCTAAAATAAATATTAGACTTGCGCTAATTATATATATCCAAGAAGGGATCTTTTTGAAATCATGAAAAATCCGAATTTAGCCAGTTCTAAAATATATTAAAAAAATGTAAAAGGGAAAGATAAAACCTCTTTTAGTGTTCGAAAAAAGGAATACAAAGTTTCTTTCAGAGCAAGAGTAGGTTAAAACGCAGCGAAAAAAGTAGGACTTGAAGAAAATGGTATGAAAATGTATTAGAAGTGTGGGAAAAATATATTTCCTCAGAATGAAGAAATTCATTTGGGAAATTTAAGTTCACCCCATATGACTGCTACAAGTAACAGAGATCCCAAGTAAACAAAAACAGCAATGTGAAGATGTAACACAAAATCAGGATTGCAAATGAAAATTTGTGGCTTTTCGGATTAGAAAAGCTTTACTTTACCATCTCTTCCTTGCTAAGCGAAAGAGCTGTTATGTAAATAATACTTTGACCTATTTAAAGCTATGGCAGTGAAATATGGGTCTTAAGAAAGACGAGTATGTGCATATTTCGAATATGAGGAAGAAAAATAAACGGTCCGACATGTGATAATAACAGTTGAGATATTTCGGACATACATACTACAAGAAAGAGAGCGAGAGAAATATCCTCAAGTGCAGACTTAGGGAAAATCCAAAATTATTATGGAGTGACCCAAGAGTGAAGATTGAATAAGGGATCATTTCTGAGATGGATAGATGTGGATAAAGATCTCCGGGATACGAGTATAAAGACGTGGAGATGGATAAAAAGAAATGGAGAAAGATGGTGAAGCAGGTCCAGATCCTCAAAGGACTGTAGCTCCGCATTGATAGTTGGTTAGTAAAAATTATAGCGTGGGCAATTTAGTGGGTAATTTTATAGTAATTATAGCTCCAGTAATTTAACACACTTTAGTGGATGGATACTTTAAAAACTGCTTGTTAAGTTTTCTTAGGTCATCAGATGGTATTTTGAATTATTTATGTTTATATCAGAACCTACACAACGCCAGTCCAAGTTACCAGAGCTCTAGGTTCCATATTAAGAGAGAAATTATAGCTTTCTGCAAACAATCCACAAAATAAGCCCAAAAGCAGTGGTATGTGGTAAGATTTTACATTATTGTATCACGATTTTTAGGAACTTTTATGGATATTTTTGGTGGTCTTTATTTATATTCTTGCAAGGGTTTCTCCTTCTTAGTGGGTGTTTCCGAAAATCGAATGAGTTTCATGTAATTAAGAATATTTAATAATACAATTGTGAGGGATCCGACGCGTTCCAAAATGGGATTTAATTCTTTCAAAGAAGAAAATGTGCAAGGAGTGGAGAATGGAAGACACGTGCATGAAAGAATAATAATTAATGAAAATCATCCTTACCACCAAAGAGCCATGGTGGGAACTACATGTAACCCAATGACAGCCTGAAGTGTGACATAGTTCGGGATGAAGTATGCCCATGCTGCAACCAACATAATACCAACTGCAAAAAAGGCTTGGAAGATCAGGCCAGATGCAGTTCTCTTTGAAGGTCCCACCAACTCCATTGCTGAAGAACATAACAATAAAATAAAATAAAATAAACAATTAAAATTTTATTTTAAAGAAATAATATTTTTATTTAACTTAGGTAGAAATGTGATATATGATTTTTATGTAAGCATAAGTATTAGGAAGCAATCCATCTGGAAGTTTCTACGTAACAATGGATGCCTCAATAGAAGGCAAAAGACCACGTGGAAGGCCAGAAAGCAGATGGATAGATTGAATCAACAAAGATGTAACAACGCTGCATTCAAATAAATGGAAAGAAATAGCCCAAGACAGGCAGAGATGGAGCTCAGGCTTGTTAAGGCCGCAAAAGATCTACATGGTCTGTAATGCCAACAGAAAAAAAAAATTTAAGCAAAGGATGTATATTTTTGAAGTGTAAACTTCTTTAGGCGCGTTTTGCACTTATTTTGTGGAGAGTAAATATGAGAACCGTCAGATCTCCTATATGTAACGCTCGAGTAAAGTCGGCTGGATTCGACTAATTGAAGTATTTTTGCATACGGATTAAAATATCTCGATATTCTATTCTAGAAACTTTTTTTTTAGCAAGTATTGATAGTTTATTATTTATAATTAGCGGTCGTATACTATTATATCTCTGATTGTAATTTTAAAAAAACATTTTCAGCCCTGAAGATGACCAACATTTTTGGGTTGAAACGTTGGCAAAAATAAACAAAATTTTAAAAAGACTGCGTCCTGAATATTTATCACCCATGATATGTAGAACAGTCGACTAACTTCCTTCAATCATAGTGATATAGAGTAGCTCATCCATACTATGCACAATAAATAAAAATATATAAACTAAAAGATACTAAAGGAAGGAGATGGTCCGGGGTTGCGGCTCAAACGGACAAGATACAAAAAGATAGAGAATTGTCGCAGAGAAACGTCGGCTTTCAATAAAATAGTATTACCACTATTTAGCCTATTTATGACCGCAACCCCGGACCATCTCCTTCCTTTATAATGTAACGGTCAACTATTAAATATTCAATAAAATATACTAAACTAAACAAAAATAAACTAATCTAACAAAATAACCACTTAAATACACACATGCTTTTATACAATATTTACAATATTCAGTCCCTCAAGATCTCCGAGCCAAGCATTTCCACACACTCGTGGAGGGAAAGGCAGGACTCTAGGAGATCCCAGCGTCCTTCACTCAGCCGTATCAATGGTATTACCAATGGAGGCTGAGGAGAGAAACTACAAATCGGATCTGCCTTACTGTAAGCGATGAAATTGTTCACCATTCATCTCAGTAATTGGCAATTATTCAAATTGTATCTTAGGGGTGTATATTAGAAAAAGTAGTGTCGACAATTTTAGTTAAGATATGGATTAAAATATCTCATAAACTAAAAATGGGACATGCATACTGTAAGCGAAGGAAATGTTCAGTATTTCATCACCTTTATATTGATTAATTGTTTATAATTTATATCTCATATTATTAATCTCGTCTTGTTGATGTTTTCACTTCTATCTTGCGTTCGAAAGCACACAACTTATTTTTAGATCTTGTGAACTACTACTACCATAAGATCTATGTTGGGTTTTTTAAAAATATCTGTCTATTTGACCTACCAAGTACGAAGGCTGGTATGTATGCAGATGTTGAGCCAACTATGCCATAGATATAGGAAGCAACGAGGTACATATTGTAGTCGTTGATGAATGCAATGCCAAAACTTACAATGAGCTGTATGGTTTGTGTCCAGCACTGCACCTTCTTACGGCCATATCTGAAAATATACCATATCTGATATAGTAATAAATCGATTTAGGGGCCAATATCGATTTATTTCAAGTTCCGTTTGGAATATCAGTAAGTCTGTGTAGTCATTTATTTTAATTTTTGTTATATAGCTTTTATAATTTAGTATTTAAGTAAAAACATTCTGGCTACTTACTTGTCTGCAAGGTAACCCAACGAGAATGAACCACTAAAGACTCCTAACATGAAGACAGATTTAGACAGGGCTCCCAACCACTTCTTATCACAGACCAGGTCCCACTAGCAACAGATGAACAGTAGAAACTTTTTCTTTTTTTTTATAAATATGTGTACGATTTTTTTTTAAATTTAAATATTTTTTATTAATTTCATATCTTATTGTAAATATCTTTAAAATTAAGAAGCATGACCCATCACTACAGCAATTGGTTTATTTGTTAGTGCGGAAAACAACTGAAGGATATTTTTCAATTATAAAAGTGAAGTTCATTTAATCGATATTTTTCAATAGTAGTTGTGATGTAGAGAAGATATTGAACTTTACGATATATAAATATGTTAAGGAAGCGATGAGCAAAAGGACTTATATTAATTTAAGTTCATCCACAGGGATCTTTGTTGATGGCCCGGTACGATTATTTCCATAGCTGGTCATTTTGAGCTGTAACGATATTTTTATTGTATAACAGTTATAACAGAGCGATTAAACCGAAGCTGAAAAAACCGCTGTAACCGATAGCCCGTTATTTTCCAATAACCACCATCCATAGTCTTTTGGTCAATTTCAAGCCTTGGAACCTTCCACACCACATTCCAATAAATTACAAATCCTTATTACATTTTGACACTATTAGTTTAAAAAAATATATTCTCATGAAAGAGTGGCCATACAGTTCCAAAAGTGTCAAACATGGTAACGACTATGAAAATAATAACGAATTTGACTTCAGTTTTTTTTTTTTTGTTTTGTCAATGGTATTTTGTTTAATTTCGCCACTATCCTATCTTGCTTAATGTATACTGTTTTTAGTAAAAAATGTCGATCAAAGCTACACCAACCTTGCAATTAGGGTCATTTATGGAATTGTTAGGCTCTTTCACTTAGTCGCCATTTTTAAAATCAGCGGTTTAGAAAAAACAGGTAAGGGTCATTTTAATTAGAATAGTATCCTATTTTGGCTCTAGCTCAGGACTATTAAAATATCTTCACTTGAAGCTATACTACTTAAAATAATCAAATCAATCTAAAAACAATATATTAAAGTCGCATTATTATTTTTCGATTTGTCTGAACACTGAATTTTCTTGAACCTTTTTCTTTTTTTGAAGAGCTCCAGAAATTTTTATCGCTTAGCCCACACTTGTCATGATCCACTCCTGCTTATCATCAATTTTTTATAATGAAAACACAGCTATTTTAAATAGTAGTTGCGTCGTTTGTACATCGATGTGATTTTGTTTTAATAACGCTCACATAAGAACTAGCAAAGGTAAATAAGTTAGTGTAATATTTGTGCTCAATAACAATCTTGTTAGTAAGAAAATAATGTCGTTGCTAAGAACAAAAGGCACTGCATTTCAGGTTAGAATGAAAGCATTGGATGAGGAGTTTGTTGTTTTTTCAATAATGGAAAACATTATGGGTGCTAAGTTTTCTTGCAGTTATGTATACATCAGATATCCTATAAAACTGATTTAGATCTGAACTTACAGATAAACTCTCGTAGTAAAAAGTACAAGATGTACCATTAGGCCTATAAAATAATGGTGAGTCACAAAAAATTTTAAAGTGGAATTCACCCAAAAATATCAATCAAACCCTTTATACTTAGCACGGCAGGATGGCAACTTCTGCAGTTATCTGATTAGTACAAATTAAACAGCTATGATAATGATAATGATAACATAGCACAAGGCAATGAAACCAAAACATTGCGAAATTGAAATATTATATTGTACCTCTACACTTCGAGTGTGCTTAAAATGTGTCCTGTCATAGACCCATTCGTCACAAGCCTCAGTAAGGTTGGTGGTTGGGTTGATGAGGAGGCAGGAGCTGTATGTGCCGTCGGGGTTCAATGGGATAGCAGCAAGTGCGGTCGGGGAGTTCCAGGCTACGTCTGTGTCGTTTTCGTGCCATGGCACCAGGCACCTGCAATAATTTGGAGTAATTAAAATAATTTAATATTTCAACAAATAATAAATAAATTCTCGTCTGGTAAAGGTAATAATAATTAATAAGGTACCTATGATTGGGTAATCCATTGATAGGGACAATGGACAAGGTATGCATCCCGGCGGTGAGACCTGTCATTATCAACAGCAGGTACTGGTACAACTGGTACTTCCCAAACTCACCTAAAAATATAATTATTCAAATTTAATATACAATAATGTTGCCAAACATAATAGATTGTTTTGAAGTATTTTACGATTCTGTGCAAGGGTGCTCATCCGCCCCAAGATGGCGCGTGAACCTATCTTCGCCCTCTCCCAAGATATTGTATTGCTTACCTCTTCTTAAAAAGACTGAAGAGCAAAATACGAAAAATCTTCGATCATACACAATTAAACTTTATGCTGTGGTCTGTTTTGTTTTCCATTTGTTCACCGGTTTGAAACTTTTCATTCCTAAAATTCTTAACCTTGTCGAAATGTGCCCTTCTACAAGATTCAAAAACCCGTCAAAATATGCCACATCTTAAAAATGTTGGTGACGCCGAAATTCTAGCTTCTAGACAACCTTCATTCTATGTATTATATTCCGTACAAACACAAAGATATACAAAAATACAATGTATTAATTTCAAAACAATGTGCAAATACATAATAAAAATATCGGGTGTATTTACTATTATATACGGAGTTGATTACCGCTTTCAGCCTAAAGTGAAATACAAAAAATTGTTTGATGTTTTGTTCACAAATATTATCTTTTATTAACATTATCATTTAATTTCTTATATTTTTCGATTTACTTTAAAGCTTGTCTTTATAAACAATTTAATTAGCTTTTCAAAGAGCATCTGTAATACAGTATTAATTAATTATTATAAGATTTTTTAAGGATAGAATTTTTATGTAGGACTTTGCATCTAAAGCGGCTGGAGAAATTGTAGATATCAGATATTTTTGTTATATTTTTGCACTTTGTTTTGAAGTTAATATATTTATCTGTTTTTATTTAGTTGTGAAAACTATTATTATTATTCTACTTATTTTTATAGATAATTAATATTCTACTTGTATGTATTATCGTATCTTTATGTATATTATTGCACATTTACATGAAAAACCTTTGGATAACATTACATAAATAAATATCGATAGATGTTATATTCTTACATAACCATTAATGGAGTGTTTTAATTATTGTACTGGTATGTCTGCAATGATAATCCATGTTGATTTTTTTAATTAACTATAAGATCAATTTGATTCAATTCAACTATAATTCTCTATATCAATCTGAAAATTGTTTTTAATTAAAACATTAGTAAACAAATATTTAATAACGACAATCTCAAGAGCTTTTTTTTCTAACGCGTTTCACCAAGTTATAGCATCAATTTGAAGAATTTCGACATTCTCAAGACTTTTTAATTTGTAACCATCACTATCTCTAATAATTTGTTATTGGAACGAAGTTTAGAAAACAAATTTAATTGAACAAAAATTGGAAAAAAATCATCACATATTTTATACTTGAAATTTATTCAAATACATTGATTTTTTTTCTTTCATGTATAATAACATTGTGAAAGAGGAATACTATGACAAATCAAGGAATTGTACTGTTTCCGTTTTTATTTGTATCATTTCGTTGTATAAACATAAACAAATTACACAACAGAGGAAAATAAAATAGATAAAAAATAACAATTTTTTTTTGTCTTCAATTCTACATCCGCACCTGTCATGGTAGTGACAATTAGCAGATTTGCTGTCAGGTGGAAAAAGGAGAATGGAACCCAGCAGCACCTCTTCCATGGCCTGTTTACATCCTAAAATCAGGAAAGAAGATCTCTAATCTAGCTTCTTTTCAGTCGCCTCCTGATGAACATTTCAGCCGTGGCCATGTCGTTGATAAGTCTATTGTGATGTCCGTGTAGTTTAAGATGAAATCGGGAGTAGAGAGTACGTATGAGCTGGTAAATGGCTGGTTGTCTTAGGTCGGTATGTAAAGTCTTGTTGTTGACATACCAGGAGGCTGCAGTTATTATTCTTAAAATTTTAGGTTGAAAAGATTGTAGTATTTGTAAGTGAGTCTTTTTAGCTGAACCGTAAATCTGTGAGGCGTATGTCCAAATGGGTTTGCCCAGGTAAGCGTATGTATTCAGTTTTTGTCTAATTTTCAATTTCGATTTAGAAAAGAGTGAGTACAGTATTTTCAGTTTGTATAAGGTCTGTCGTTAGACTGTATTCGATTATAAGATACGGAGGGAAGTGGGAATAATAAAATAATTATTTGACATTTCAATAAAATTACATTTACGTATGGTTATACAAGCAACTGCGATAGATTTATCTTAGATAAGCCAATTTATAATTGTGTACGATTAGAGAGTATCGAATGTTCAGATATTTCTTGTAATAACCAGCTACCGTACGTGTACCCTCTTTGACAGTTCAAGAACCATCTTAAGTACCAAAGCACTTCTGCATGAGGAGTGTTTTGAAACGTGTCAAGTGTCGAAAAAAGTAAAATATTTTAATATACTAACAGCTTGACGACATTAGAAATCATGTAATTGTAAAGATTAATTATTTATTATTTATTCATTCTTATTTAAGTGTCATATGATGAAATGTTTGCTTTATCTTGCATAATTACTCCCGATTTTTCCGGTTTTCAAGATTTTGATCCTCTCTACTACTAGTCCAAATTATGTGAGAGGATTAATAAATTGTATCTGAATTGATTTGGTGTTAGAGAAGTGTTGCTTGGAAGTAATATAACCCCATACCTTTGCAGCTCATTTAAAACGACGGATGTCGAAGAAGGTGCCGGACCATATTTAAAATTATTATAAAATAATATATATATATAGTGTTCTTAATATTATATAACGGATATACACCGCTTTGCAAGAAAAAATTCTATTATTTTAGAGAATAATACGCCTACAAAAACTAGATAAAAGTATAAAATACGATTAAGTTAGAAATATTTTAAAATAATTACTACAAGAACGTTTTAAGAAGGAAACAATGTGGGACGACTAGTTAAATCCTCCTTCCAACATAGAAAAAATTAAAAATAATGTATTACAAAATATTAAAAAAAAAAAAAAAACGAATTTTTAAAAACTGATTATCAGCAACAGATTGCTTGTTAGTATTCCAGCATTCGAAAATCAACTAATCACTAAACAGAGACTAATTTAGTAATTACTAAAATTACTAAATTAGTGTCTATTATTAAATTACTAAATTAGTAACTACCTTGAAAGTAATCGCTCAACGTTCTGGCTACACTTACGAATTTACATGAATTAAGCATCACAGATCTAAGGCGCAACAAGGCGAAAGATATTAAAACGCTTTACATTCGGTACTCAAGAATAGTTTAAAATGTAACTAGTGTAGCTCTACATCCTATTTTGAACTCTCTGCAAACTGCTTTAAAAATGATCATACTGATTGGACATAATCAGAATATTACTACAATTTGTGTACCAGAAATCTGACTGCAAAAGATGAATATATCTATAGTCACACTGCTGAAACATGTAAATACAAAACTAGAAACAAGCAGGAGACAAAAAAATATGTAATTTTCATTTTATGAACATTATATTTTCAGTTTTTTTTTTTTTTTGCAGGCGTAAGACAAAGATAAAATGTTGTATGTAACTGTTTTTATCACATCTCTGCAAAATAATCTTTTAAACCTATTTCCATTACTTTCAGGAATTTACCTGGAACTTACAACTTTTTACCCGCTTTAAAAAATAGGTATTAATAATCAATTAAGTAAAAGGTATCAAGTATTACGTAACAGCAATCGACTTTATTGCTGAAAAGCGGAGCTTAATGAATTTAAAATAAAAAATATTTTTTCTTCCTTTCATAGTCCGCTTATCTAAAAAATCTGAATCATAAACTTTCTCACTGATATTGACCACAATTTACCTAATCTTTGAAGTGAGCACGCAAAGATGTTCTGTTATGTAATATCAACAAAGGAGCTGTAAATCTATTTGTATGTTGAATCAACTCAGCGTCAAGAAATCGTAAAATGCAAACACCTCTTCGAATTGAGTATCTGCCAGATAATGTGCCAGCACGAGTGTTAATTTTTTTATTTATTTCAGTTTTTGGAATGGTAGTTTAATTTCTTTTTATTTTAATAGGTGTTTCATATAAGAGATATAAAAAAAAAATTACAATTAAGAGGTAAATAGATAAATTAAAAAGGCAAAATAAAAAAATTTATTTTTTTAAACAATTCAAATTGTCTTCAAGTGAAAACTATTAAAATTGAAAATGAAAGTTCATGTTCATTAATTTTAAATTTAAATTTTATTTAAGTGGAATCGTGGTGGAGGTTCGTTGCATTATATGTAAACAATGCATTAAGATCTTAACCTATAAAGAAAAAATCAAACAAGATTATATAAATTAATACACGTTTATTATAAATTGATATTGTACAATAATATATACACAAATAAATATAAATTTAGCATAAAAATATTTTTTATCTTTATTTATATATTGATTTGTGACCTAGCGAAACCTAACCTTTCGGCCGAGATCGGATGCAAACTCGGGTTTCTTCGGGCTCTCTATTACTACTATTATATCTCCTTTAGTTCATTATCAAATTCTTTTATATTTAACCGTTATTTATAATATATTATATTGGACTCAGAGGACTTCAAAACGTATGTTTCCGTTGAAAACTCGGATTCTAAAATTTTCCCGATCACAATACTTTCTGTTACTATGTATTACGTATGCATATATTTCACATAATAAAATACATCTCCTGAAATATTGTAATGGTTACGTATAAGGATACTTAAATTGTCTGACAGAGCTCTCTTGAAAAATATAAACCGAAAATAAGGGTACCAAAGTAAATTGAAAAATTCTTCTTCATTGGCCTTTTCAATAAATTTTTTATTTTGCCTTTGACTATAATAATTAACAATATTTTAAAATAATTATAAGTTTAAACAAACAGTTATCAGTGATCCATGAGAGTTGTGGTATTTAAGAATATTTTAGGCTCAGTACGTTCCAAACGAAGTAGGAGTTAAGGAGTAATTTTAACAGGTATTTTTTTAAGCTCTCACAAACATATTAAGCAAAGCATAAATAAGTTCACTTTAAATAAATAATACTTTTTA